ACACAACCTATAGAGTGGGAGAAAATATTTGCAAACAATGTGACCGACAAGTGCTTAATTTCCAAACAGCTGTTACAGTTCAATATAAAAAAATAACAATCAAAGCCTTCCCTGGTGGCTCCATGGAAAAGAATCTGCCTGCCAATGCAGGAGACACGAGTTCAATCCCTGATCCAGGAAGATCCCACATGCCACGGCGCAACTAAACCCATGTGCCACAACTACTGAGCCTGTGTTCCAGAGCCCAGGAGCCGCAACCATGGAAGCCCATGATCCACAAGAGAAGCCACCCCAATAAGAAACTTGGGCACTGCAATTAGAGAGTAGCCCCCAGCCTCTGCAACTAGAGAAAAAAGCCCATGCAGCAAGACCCAGCACAGCCAAAAATAAATAAATAAAATTATTTACAAAACCAATCCAATCAAAAATGGGCAAGAGACGTGCATAGACATTTCTCCAAAGACAACATACAGATGGCCAAAAAGCACATGAAAAGATGGTCAACATTGCTAGGTATTAGAGAAATGCAAGTCAAAACTATAATGAGGTATCACCTCACACCAGTCAGAACAGCCGTCATCAAAAAGTCTACAAATAATAAATGCTAGAGAGGGCATGGAGGAAAAGGAACCCTCCTACAATGTTGGTGGGAATGTAAGTTGGTACTGCTACTATGGAAAACATTATGGAGGTTCCTTAAAAAAAAAATAAAATTCAACTTACCTATAATCCCTCGATCTTTCTCCTGGGCAATCTTTTATGTGGAAAAGATGAAAACTCTAATTCAAAAAGATACATTCATTCCAGTGTTCACTGCTGCACTATTTACAATAGCCAAGTCATGGAAGCAATGTAAATGTCCATCAACAGATGAATAGATAAAGATGTGGTACATACATACAATGGAATATCACTCAGTCATAAAAAAAGAAATGTTTAAATAATGCCATTTGCAGCAACATGTATTGACCTAGAGATTATCATACTAAGTGAAGTAAGTCAGAGAAAGAGAACTGTTGTATGACATCACTTATATGTGGAATCTAAAATATGATACAAATGAACTTATTTATAAAACAGAAACAGACTCCTTGACATAGAAAACAAACTTAACAGTTATCAAAGGGGAAGGCACAAGGGAGGGATAAATTAGGAGTCTGGGACTAGCAGATGCACCCTACCATCTATAAAATAACAAAGTGTTATTTTATAACATGTCCAACTCTTTGTGACCCATGGACTTTAGCCCACCAGATCCTCTGTCCATGGAATTCTCCAGGCAAGAATACTTGAGTGGGTTGCCATTTCCTCCTCCAGGGGATCTTCCCGACCCAGGGATCAAACCTGGGTCCCTGCATTGCAGGCAGATTCTTTACCAGCTGAACCATCAGGGAAAATAACAAAGGTTTACTGTATAGCATGGTGAATTATATTCAGTTATCTTATAATAACAAAAATGGAAAAGAACCTGAAAAAGGATATATATATCTCCATCCCCTGGCGAGGCTCCTCTCAGTCCTCAGGGCTCACCTCTGCTTCAATGAGCCAGCCTCCATGCAGGCTGCTTCTGTGCCTATGTGCCCTTCCATGCCATGCCCGCTGCCTTCCAGTTGGCAAAACCCTCCTCCACTTTCCAAGGTTTTGTCCAAGCATGACTTCTTAAGGCAAGCTTTTTCTACCCTCTACCCATGCTGCCTCACCCCTCTATAAAATCAACCCCCCCCTCCTTTGCATTCCAATGGAGCTCACACATTGCCACTCACTTTACCATCATGCAAAATACCAGGCTGGATGAAGCACAATCTGGAATCAAGATTGCTGGGAGAAATGTCAATAACCTCAGATATGCAGATGACACTACCCTTATGGCAGAAAGTGAAGAACTAAAGAGCCTCTTGATGAAAGTGAAAGAGGAGAGTGAAAAAGTTGGCTTAAAACTCAACATTCAGAAAACTAAGATTCTGGCATCTGGTCCCATCACTTCATGGCATATAGATGGGGAAACAGCGGAAACAATGAAAGATTTTATTTTCTTGGGCTCCAAAATCACTGCAGATGGTGATTGCAGCCATGAAATTAAAAGATGCTTGCTCCTTGGAAGAAAAGCTATGACTAACCTAGACAGCATATTAAAAAGCAGAGACATTAAAAGGTCTGTCTAGTCAAAGCTATGATTTTTCCAGTAGTCATGTATGGATGTGAGAGTTGGACTATAAAGAAAGCTGAGCGCCGAAGAATTGATGCTTTTGAACTGTGGTGTTGTAGAAGACTCTTGAGAGTCTCTTGGACTGCAAGGAGATCCAACCAGTCCATCCTAAAGGAGATCAGTCCTGGGTGTTCATTGGAAGGACTGATGCTGAAGCTGAAACTCCAATACGTTGGCCACCTGATGTGAAGAATTGAATCATGTGAAAAGACCCTGATGCTGGGAAAGATTGAAGGCAGGAGGAGAAGGGGACAACAGAGGATGAGATGGTTGGATGGCATCACTGACTCGAAGGACATGAGTTTGAGTAAACTCCAGGAGTTGGTGATGGACAGGGAAGCCTGACGTGCTGCAGTCCATGGTGTCGCAGAGAGTCAGACACAACTGAGCCACTGAACTGATCATCGTGGCTTACTTCAATACATTTCAATGTTGTGTGTTACTTGTGGGGGTTCAATATCTTGTCTTATTCAAAATTGTCTCTGCCTGGTCCTCCAGACCTTTTCCACATCAGAGCACATAAAAAATGATAATGTTTAGATGGCAAGAGGCTGCCACTGAAAGAGACCCATATGTCGGCACACCTTTAATAACCCAGTCAAAGCTTAGGCAATCCAGATGAGAAGCTCTGCAGGAAAGACCCTCATTTAATATTGATTGGGAAAAAAAGTGAGTCAATAAGTCTATTTATAGGATTAAGAAATATCTGAAGTTAAGCAAAGATCTCAAGAACGAAAGGAATGATCCTATGGCGGGGGCGGGGGGGGGGGGGCACATGATCAAGACTGAATATGACCTCAGCAAAAAGATAAGATTGTGGATTTCTTACCCAGGTGGTCAGGGTCTCCTTGACCACTATTAGACTCCAGCCCCAGGCTGACCCACAGCACTGCCTTCCACACACCTGGTCTCTAATCATTCAGACTGCTGGCTCCCTGCCCGTCACAACTCCCTCGCTTACCTGCCAAGTGTCAGCCTCTGTCTGTCTTGGCCTCTATCTCCCACCCAGCCTCCTCTCTACCTGTGCCTCCCACTAGCTCGACAGCTGCCCATGCCCACACCCGCCTCCACGTCCACGCTAGCACTGTGCCTGTCATCACAGGCTCCTGCCTGAGTTCCTTTTGTCTCCTGTCCTGTCAATGAAATGTGCTTCCTGTGGTTGAAAACAGTCCTTCTCACTCTAGCTTCCCCTCCTTTACCTGTAACAGGTACAAATAGGTGTACAGGGCGTTGAACTAAACTTCCCAAGTGGCTGTGGGACGACCGGGTTCCTGTGTAACAGGGAGACAGGGGTGTGTGCTGTCCAGGGCAGGGCCAGGGTCTCAGAATCTTGCAGAGAGCCAGGAAATATCCCTTGGAGTAAACTGTACTTGAGTGTTTAAAAAAAAAATTATTTCCTTATTTGGGAATTCATAAATGAAATTTATTGAGGGCAGGAGAGGGGGGTGACAGAGGACAAGATGGTTGGATGGCATCACCGACTTGATGGACATGATTTTGAGGAAGCTCCAGGAGATGGTGAAGGGCAGGGGAACATGCTGCAGTCCATGGGGTTTCAAAGAGTCAGACACGAAAGAGCAACTGAACAATAAATGAAATGATCCTATACTAAACAGAACCAGAATCACTGTCCCCACATCCATTATTTAACTGAAATTTTGCATAGTAAGTTTGGCCCGGAGGCCTGGGGAGCAGACCAGGGCGGGGGGAACTTGAGAGCAGCAGCCTCAGGTGGGAACATCCATTGGAAGAGAGGTTCCCAATTAATTCTGTGCAGCAGAAACTCCTGCAGAGCTGCAGGGAAGGTGGGGGAGAGAACAGAGGTCAGGGCTGCGCTGCTGAAGGATGAAACTGACTGACCCCTGGGGGCTTGCCTTTGCCCCTAGGGGGCATCCACGGGATTGGTCAGTAGTCAGCTGCCCCCTTCGCCTTACAGTTTCTGAAAGGAGACACAGAGGAGTCAGTGGTCCTAAAGCAAGTCAATACATGCAGATTTCCTGATAGCCCCTCACTCAACGAAGGTTTACCGCCCTGAACCAAGGGCCGCCCCTGGGATGTGTCCCGATGGTCACACGTGCACTAGGATCAAGCCCCATCCTGACGTTTCCACCCTGTCGTCGGCTGGGAGCATGTCCAAACGCTGGGGCTTCGACCAGAGGGAAGCAGACCCTTCGAGCATCCTCTGTACATGGAATGGTAATCCCTGTGTCCTCTGTCCCGCTCAGCCAGGCCTCAGGCTTGTTGCCGATCCATGGAGTGTCCTTCCGTGTGCGCTGGAAGAGGTCCTATTCCCTGTCGTGACGAGGGACTGCCTCTGCTCCTGGGTTCGGGGGCGTCTGCTCAGACTAAGAAATCCCATCTGTCTTCCCCCAAGCTCTGCAATCTCTGTCTTCACTTCAGAATTTGGAGAATAAAATTTCTGTATGTGTGTATGTGCTCAGATGTGTCCGACTCTTTGCGACCCCACAGACTGGGCCCCACCAGGCTCCTCTGTCCATGGGATTCTCCATGCAATAATACTGGAGCGGGTTGCCATTTCCTCTTCCAGGGGATCTTCCCCACGCAGGGATCGAACCCCTGTCTCTTATGTCTCCTGCATTGGCAGACGGGTTCTTTACCACCAGGGCACTGGGAAGCCCCAGTGACATTGCTGGCGTTGCTTTATTGCTGAGACACTTCTGGAAGTTTCCAACCATCAGAAAGTGTGTTTCCTGTTCTGTTTAGCAGTGAATCCCCGTTGCCAGGTGGACCCCCAGGCCAGCACTGATAACGGTGTCCCCTCTTGCCCCTGCAGGCACAGAAGGGGCACAGGAAGCGCCCTAAACCTGGCAGGGCTCACCAGGCCTCAGAGCAGAAACCTGGCTCCACGTCTTCCCCAGGCGCCACTGCGCAGAGCCGGACCCCAGGCCACCCGCAGCCACCACTGGACACGTCACACCCGGGGCTCGGCCAGGCAGGTCCGTCTACCAGGCACCCGCAGGAATTTGCCAGACGTGCCACCTGCCCTCCCAGCCTGCCCTGGTCTTTCCAGAGAAGCAAGTCCTTGTTTTGTCTGCCCACCGGAGACCCCTCCCCGGCCAACGCGGCAGAAGCGCAGCGGTCTGCAAGCTCAGGCGGCGGGGGACAAAGGGCGCCAGAGCGGGGGCACAGCCACCTCCTCTCCATCGATGACCTGGAGGGGGCCCAGGAGACGGACGTGGACACCGGGCTGCGGCTCTCCTCCTCCGACCTGTCCGTGGTCTCTGCCTACTCGGCACCCAGCAGGTTTTGCAGCCCCGAGGAAGCACCGCGCCCCCCAGAACGAGGCAGCGGCCTCTGGTCAGAGCGCAGGGGCTTCAGAGAAGGACCCCTGCCCACTGGGGGCGGCGAGACCGCGGGGGGCCCCTGGGCCACCCTCCCTCTCTTCAAAGGGCCTTCGGGCTCCTCGGCCACAGCCGTCGCCGCTCCCCCAGCTTCAGACACCTCCTTGCTCACAGAGTCACCCCCAGAATGCCCTTCCCATGCCCCCCAGGCCGGGCAGACTGGCAGAGACGTCCCAGCACCCTCAGTGCTGGCCAGATGCGGGGACAATGACACGGAGGAATTCTACATCTGAGCACCCCCAACTCGTGTCTTTCAGAGCCACAGGCTCAGGTCCCACCTTGCCCTTCTGGGGTCTGGTGCCATCGTGTTCTCAGCCCAGCTCCCCGAGGCCCGTCTGGAGTCTGATGATCTGTCTCATGGGTCACTAACACACTTGCAGGCCAGCCTTTCTCGCCCGTGAGGTGGTGTATTTCTAGGGGCTCAATGGCATTTTAAGAGTCGATAAAGACACTGGGATTTTTATGCAAATAGATTCTCAACAAACTTTTAGGTCATAAAATATATTTTTTAAATACTCAATTCCATTTGGGATATGGTTTAATGCACTTACCTAATTTAAATTCTTCCTATAATTATTTGAAAAGAAAACCTAGTCAGCTGGAGCTGATTGCACAATTTTTCATGACATGAAGGAAAAACAACTAAAGCCAAAATGCTCAATGTGAGAAAGATAGCAAGCAACTTGGAGGAGAGGTCAGTGCTCGTGATGTATACCTTAGTGGATTCTCCGTTTCTGTTTACCCTACCAGGGAGCAGTGGCCCTGAGGATTTCTAGGAACTGTTACAGTGAAAAGAGTCACCTTAGTAAAACAGTAGATATATAATCAGACTACAGTAAGACCTCACTTCAGCACTTATATCACTACAGTGATGCCACGCACCATCCAAAAATCAGCATTTACGCAAAAGTGGCTAATAAGCTTTATACAGATTGAGCCCAAATAACAGACTCTTGGTACATCTAAAATACAATCTGAGCTCCAAGAACTAGATTTGAATGCACTTTTCAAACACATGCACTGTAACAAGTCGGTAGTCTACAGAAGACCACTACCTGGATTTATTTGGACCACTGAGGAAAGATCATTCATGCTTCCATGTTTAAATCCACAATTTAAGGGCTATCTAGACAGGTACATGTAAATGGGCCACTTTTTATACTGCTTTCTCCAGTAAACATGCATTGTCATTTTTTCATTTTTAAACAATTTGTAGCAGTTTTAACTGGCATTTTCATGGCACTGAGTAATAAATGCCCTCCCCTGTTCTCCAAGTGGGAAGCTTTACACAAGATGCCATCCTGAACCAACACTGCTGCCCATGTGCAGAGGAGCCTGAGTTAAAGCTGGAGCTCTGACCTGACCTTGGTCTTGCCTGTGGTCGCCTGCCTCTGTTGCAGCGTGAATGGTATTCAAATCTCATGTCTCTCCCACTCCAGCAAGGGAATGTTTACAGTCCCAACTCAGCAGTGCCAAGTGCTCGCATCGGGAGCCACACCAAGCTGTCCCTGGTTGCTGTGCACCTTTGGAGAAGAAGAGTGTGGACTTGCCGAGTTCCCGTCCCACCCCGGTGCTCCTCGCCTGGATGACTCATGGCCCAGTTTACACCTCCCTGGAAGCATCCACACCAGCCTTCAGAATTCTCCTCAACACAATCCTCCCAGCAGCCCTCACTAGTCATCACACTTGAGCCAAAGTCTTTGCTGTCCCTGTAATGAGAACCTTCGCTCCTACCCCAAACAGCCTGGACACTCCAGGATTGTTGTTGTTTAGTCACTAAGTTGTGTCTGACTCTTTGTGACCCCATGGACTATAGCCCGCCAGGTTCCTCTGTCCACGAGATTCTCCAGGCAAGAATACTGGAGCAGATTGCCATCCCCCCTCCAGGGGATCTTCCCAACCCAGGGATCAAACCTGTGTCTTCTCTGTCTCCTGCATTGGCAGGTGGATTCTTTACCACTGAGCCACCAGGGAAGCCCTTTCAGGACTACAGATGACAATACTGTACTCTGATTTAAGTACATAAAATTATGATCTTTTATAATTCTATACCAGGAGTGAGCAAACTTTTTATAAAGGGCTAAATAATAAATATTTTAGTCTTTGCCACTCATACGGTCTCTGTCGAAACTACTGAACTCTGTCATGATAGTGTGAAAGCAGCCAAGGATATGTAAATGAAGGGAAGCGGCTGAGTTCCAAGAAAATTTATTTTACAAGAACAGGTGGAGGGTCAGATTTGGCCTGAGAGTCATAGTTGGCCAGCCCTTGTGTTTGACTGAGGTTGACTTGAGACTTGAGATCTCAGCCACAGTCAATGATGAAGAACGGAGGTCTGCATCCCTTTATAGCTGTGATGCCCAAGACCAAGAAAACACGCTCCTGGGACCACGCTGATGACTACAGAACCACAGGGCTCAGAGCAGTGCGGGGCTTCTTTCTGCAGCGATGATGCCTAGAAAGTCACTGGCTTTCTACCTGCTGCTAGGAAATGGGACTCACAGCCTGTAGCTGAGGATGCAAAGCAACATGCTAACCATTCAGGTGCTGACGTAGCCCCCAAGGACCAGGAGGCAAGCTCAGGACAGTAAAGTCACTGGGGCATCCATGAGTGGACTGTCAGCCAGGCGATGGCTCCTCCAGTCTTCACCCTTCAGCAGCACCCTTAGCTCAGAACATTCACACCCACACCCTACGGATGCTTCGGAGCCAATTCGGATGCAGTCTGCCTTCACCCTTTCTCACTGACTCCCCACCGCAGCACAGTGCAGTCTACCAAACTGAGCGCCAGCAAAGGATGTCAGCAAACCTCTTCGTAACAGGAAATGCAAGATGCCTCCGTAACAGGAGAAGGGAGAGAAGACCGAACATCCTCACTCAGACTCGCCCCTCCCTGCAGACAGCAGTCTCTCTGGGGAGGAGGGGCTCCAGAGGCACTCCTGGGGCTCAGCTCTCCTTGCTGACCCACCTCCAGTGCTGTCCTCATCCAGGAGGGCTCCTGATACTCCCTGGGGAATCCTCTCCCTTTCAGATTATTATTGTGATGGATGCTGGCTGGCATACAATAGGTGCTCAATAAATTTGTTCAATTTTTAAAAGCTGAGGTCATCTCAAATTATTTTTCTCCTGGAAAAGAAAATTCTTGATGGAAGATCTGTATTTTAGCTGTAGTTTCTTGTTGTTTAATGGATAACATGTCTCCTTGACCTTGCATTTCTCTCCCCAGCATTGCCCCAGGGGTCATGTTAATAAGTGCCCCGCTCTAGCTCACAGGCCATCCCTTACTTGCCCCTTTTCCAAATAAGACTCCCCAAATTGCTGCTTATGGTCCCACCGTGGTCTCCCACCTGTAGTGTAGTAGTGTTAGTCGCTCAGTCGAGTCCGATTCTCTGCCACCCCATGGACCAGGCTCCTCTGTCCATGGAATTCTCCAGGCAAGAATACTGGAGTGGGCTGCCATTCCCTTCTCCAGGGGATCTTCCCAACCCAGGGATTGAACCCGGGTCTCCTGCATTGCAGGCGGATTCTCTACCATCTGAGCCACCAGGAAGATCCACCTAGTATCTACTAGTAGCACTACTTAGTATCTACTTTAAAGATCAAATGTTTCTTGGGGGTCCCTAATGGACCAAGCCCAAGCCCTACAGAAACCACCCTGGGTCACCCCAGTTGGGTCTGCCATGGAGGAGCGTGGCGAGCCCCTGAAGAGACTTTTGTGATGGTGGAGGGGTTGATGTGTGGTCAACAGAGGGGTGGTAGCACTGGGGGCTGCTTGATCCCTGAGACCCAAGGACAGGGGTGCAGTCACGTGGAAGCCTGCTGAGCTGCACCATCCAGCGCCTTCTGGGTGAGGCCAAGTGTTTACTCGTATCAGGAAGGCCCTTGAGCCCATGGCTGATCTCTCTAGCCCCTCGTCAAACAGGAGAAATCCAAGTACTTCCTCTTCCCCTACTGGGCCTTCTGTAGATGAATGAATTCTCCAGTACACCAGGTAAAAGGCACCTGAGTAGACTCATAGAATTTCTGGAAGAGATTTTTCTAAGAGCAAATAAAACTGTTGAGAGTTTCTCCCTCGCAAGGCCTCAGAGCACCCAGAGCCACTTCTGGCCAGTGATCCCAAGTCCAAATTTCAGGAGAACAGTGGAAAGCTGGACGGCCGCCTCCCCGCTCCCCCCACCCTCCCCACCCCCACCCCTGCCCAGGGTTACATTGCTTCACATTCCTGGTCTGGATATAAATATGCCCCTCAATGATCTGCAGTATTCCACTCCTCTTTAATTCTCTGGAAACACAACTGATCAGATACTGTTAGACACTTGAAGAAACAAGAAATTGACATGAATAAAAATGGCTTCTCAAAGGAAACATCTTTTGTCACAGTTATAACACATGGATTCAAGAAGAGTCAAGAGCCTGAATTTAAAGGTTTTTTTAGAATTACATTCTTCCAGCTTCCACAGAAGGCTTTTTTACAAAATGGCTTTGAATGACATAATTTCTCTGAGTGAATAATGGGAGCAAACATTAATGGAAATTAATGCTGGCACCCTTGGGTCTTTTTAAAAGTCAGTTTCTATTTCACAGGTGAGATAACTATTGTCCAGTTATGTGCCCAACATTAGGGCAGTATGTTCATTTCAGACCGAAGTCACCAGGCACCGGGGAGGCTGAAAAGCCCCTTCCCCATGCCCCCATAACACACCCCCTAAACTCTCCATTTGTGAGGAGGGTCCCACCTCCCCTCCCTCTCTCCCAGATGGTGTCACTAATGGAGCTGCTTCCATGGGGGTTAGCTTTGCCCAGGCCCTAGAACTATACCCAGAGCATTGTGGAGAGGAGCAACTCGAAACGTGGTTAGCCCAGTCCAAGAAGTACCCCGTTATACAGAAACACTTGCAGGCCAGATCGCCTGGCTAAGGATGGCTGCAGGAAAGCTTTGGTGCCACCTAGTGGCCGCCTTGCCCAGGAGGGCCAGTGACTGCCCTTTGCTTTGCAGAAGACTCCGCCCCGAAGAACACTGGAGGCGCTTCACTTCCTTTTATTATTCTGCATTTAATTATTTCCACAGGTATTGAAGCCACTGAAATTACAGTGACATAAGACAATGCAAAGAGAAATAGGAAATCGGGGCTAAGGGAAAGAAAGAGTAGAAATATGCCAACGGTGAAGAAAACTGCTGCAGATGAATTTCCTAGAAGCCAAAGCAAAAAGGGAAACGTGAGCAGCTTAGTGGTTCATGTTTATTAATTAGAAACTCTAGTGACACTGCCTTATTTCATTGTAATTTAAGTTGACTCAATGCTATGTCTCAACAGAAACCAAGTTTTTCTTAGCAAAGAAACTAAGAATGAATTCACGGTTACCAGGGCAGAAGGGGTGGGGAGGAGGGATAGATTGGGATTTGGGGGTTGACATGTACACACTGATGTATGTAAAATGAATAACCGGGCTTCCCTGGTGATCCGGTGGTTAAGAATCCAGCTTGCAACGCAAGGGACATTGGTTCGATCTCTGGTCCCAGAAGATGCCTCAGAGCAACTAAACCCATGTGCCACAGTTATTAAGCCTGTGCTCTAGAGCTTAAGTCTGTGAGCCCTAGACTCCATGCTCTGTGACAAGAGAAGCCACTGTAATGAGAAGCTCATGCAGCACAACCAGACAATAGCCCCTGCTCGCTGCAACTAGAGAAAACCCTACTGCAACAACGAAGACCCAGAACAGCCAAAAATAAATGAATATTTTAAAGAAAAAAAAAAGAACAAGGACCTAGCTCTGCTTAGGTGAGCTCTGCTTAATATTCTGTAATAACCGAAATGGAAAAAGAATTTGAAAAAGAACAGATAACATGTATATACATAACTGAATCACTCTGCTGTACATCTGAAATGAATACAACATTTTCAATCAGCTATACTCCAATATAAAATAAAAATAAAATCATGTTCTCAGAAGGGGGTTTTCATGAGGGATTTTCTCTGTAGGGTGATGATTTTGGTCCAAGTTGGGAGCTTTCCTTGACTGAAGGATGGAGTTTACAAAGGCTGGAGGAGTGGATACCACCTCATGCTTTGGGTGAGCCTCCCTGGACATCTCCAGTCACTGGCCCTGGGCAAGAAGCCTGGAAGCTGGCCTCCTTCGGTCTCTTGAGACCAGATCTCTTTGGCAAATGGAGAGCCACTGATGAGACTGACATCCTCCTGGGAGAGTGCAGGCTCTACCCGTGGTTCTAGTCTGTGTGGCTAGAGAGCCCTTGTCTAGCCCCCTGCACCCTCATCCACATTCTGCCCTTCCAAAGTCACCACCAAGACTCTAACTGCGACCCCTCATGGTTAAAAGGCCTTCTAGCACTTTAAAAAAGTGTGAGTTGCTGAGTCCTCTCTGACTCTTTGAGACCCTGTGGACTGTAGCCCGCCAGTCTCCTCTGCCATGGAATTCTCCAGGCAAGAATACTGGAGTGGGTTGCCATGCCCTTCTCCAGGGAATCTTCCTGATACAGGGACTAATGAGTTTCCTGCATTGCAGGCAGATTCTTTACCATCTGAGCCACCTGCGAAGCCCTTTGAAGCCCCTTCATAAATCCCCTCAACCCACCCTCCACTGAGATTCCTGAAAAGTGATAAGGATTCAGTTCCCTGCACCTCTTTCTTCATTGGTCTGAGTGGATTTACTTATTCATTCAACAAGTATTTACTAAGTCCCACTATGTGTTGAGGCTTCCCAGGTGGTGCAGTGGTAAAGAATCTGCCCGCCAATGCAGGAGATGCAAGAGACATGGGTTCGATCCCTGGGTCAAGAAGATCCCCTGGAGTTGGAAATGGCAACCAACTCCAGTATTCTCGCCTGGAAAACTGCATGGACAGAGGATCTGGTGGGCCACAGTCCATTGGGTCGGAAAGAACTGGACACAACTGAGCGCACACACAGGCACCCTATGTGTCAGGCAGTGGACTATTTGTGCCTTTTTTTAAAACTTTGGAGTGGCCAAAAAGTTGGTTCTGGTTTTTCTTTAGGAGCTTATGAAACCCAAATGAACTTTTGGCCAATCCAATAATTTCTAGGAGAGATTTATTTGAAGAAATATTACAACATATAAAAACTACATAGACTCTTAATTTCCACTCATATGCTGGTAAATTCAGTAAAACAATAAAAAAAAACTTTTAAGATCCAGGATGCACAAGGTACTGCACGGTTTGATCACTAAATCAAATCAGGGGACAAACAAACCACACAGAACAGTTTTGTATCAGCCCAGGGGACCTAGGATTGAATGGGAGAGACATCATCTCCTATTAACCCCATCATTACTAGTTATTCTTCCCTGTAGATTTTACAGGACTTCCCTGATGGCTCAGATGGTAGAGAATCAGCCTACAATGTAGGAATTCCAATTGGGTTCAGTCCATGAGTTAGGAAAATTCTCTGGAGAAAGGAATGGCAACCCACTCCAGTATTCTTGCCTAGAAAATTCCAAAGACAGAGAAGCCTGGTGGGCTACAATCCATGGGGTCACAAAAAGTCAGACACAACTGAATGACTAAGACTTCACTTCATAGATTTTACAATCCTCCTAAAGGATCTAATACAGTTACATATACAGAGCCTCAGGTTTTGGCATCAGGTTAACCTGGCTTCCCATTCTGACCCCACCACTCACTTTGGAAACCCAGGGCAAAGTTAATTAACTTCTCTGAGCCTCAGTTTTATCATTTGTAAAATATGGATGACAACACCTACCCTGGAGGATCGCTATGAAAATTAAGTTATGTAATTTGTGTGGAGGGCTTCCCTGGTAGCTCAGCTGATAAAGGATCTGCCTGCAATGCAGGAGACCCTGGTTTATTCCTCGGTGGTGAAGTTCCCCTGGAGAAGAGAGAGGCTACCCACTCCAGTATTCTTGGGCTTCCTCAGTGGCTCAGACAGTGAAGAGTCCGCCTGCAATGCCGGAGACCTGGGTTCGATCCCTGGGTTGGGAAGATCCCCTGGAGGAGGACATGGCAACCCACTCCAGTATTCTTGCCTGAGAATCCCATGGACGGAGGAGCCTGGTGGGCTACAGTCCATGCGTTTGCGAACAGTCGGACACAACTGAGTGACTAAGCAGAGTTTGTGAGGAAGTCACTGTACTGCCTGCAGCACATTGGGCATTTTGTAAAGGTAGATGCTCTTTCCATTCCCTCCGGCTTCCTAGTGGCCCCACGCTCTGCTCAGCTGACACCCGCCTACTTCACAAACTGCCCGGTGCCGGGAGGACAGACAGGGTTTGGTTTCAACATGCTCTTTACAATCCGCGATTCCACCATCACCTCTCCACCATCTCTCTGGACAGACTCCACTGGATCGGAAGTCATCTTTCCATCATCACACCCTCCACCCACCTCCCTGGCTTGTCTCTCTTCTGCATCTCAAGCCACTGCCAGCAAATCAGACCCTGGTGCTTGTTACCACTCAACAAGAAAGCTGTTCTTTCTCCCAGATCCCCAGTTCTGAGCTGCCCTTCCCTAAACACACACTCTCTCCACAGCTCCCCACCTGATCCTCCAAGCGTACAAAACCCATGCTCCCTTCTCTTGGCCAGTTCCCCATCTCTACATTCCCCTGCTCTCTTGGAGTGTCCAGGCCCACCCACCCCTCCCGGAGCCCGGGCTGACTGGCTCACTGTGGCCTCCGCAGCATTTGCAACCCCCCACCCCACCCTCTTGCCTCACCTGCTGGGCCCCCAAGTCGAGCCGTCCTGCACTTTTGCTCTGTTTCCACTCCGAAACTGCCAGACCACAGGCAGTCCACCCGCCCACAGCTACTTGGCCAACTTTCACTGCACACTTACAGGCCTCAATTGTTCCAACCTGTTCCAACTTCCTGAATGCTCTCTAAACTCTGCCTGCATGACTCCCAGACTAACCTTGGCCCAGAACCATCCATCACCCCCGCAGGCCCCCACCTGACCCCATAAGATGGGAGTGACTCCAACGAGGTCAGAAGCAATAAGAGACTGATGCGTAGAAGAGACCTACCACCTGGTCCTCTGCCCTCGGAAGTGACCTGAAGACTGAAAATGCAACGGGGGCAATGGAGGAAAAATGGGTGTGCGTAGCAAGGGGACCACGCATCCTCTCACCATGCCAAGAGTTAGTCCTGGTTCCTGCAAAACAAGCCTCCCATGCCCAATGCAAGTCAACCAGCCCAGGCCAGCGGCTCTGCCACTCTCCTTGGCCAGAAAGCTCAAGGAGGTCTGGGCCTGTGTTCACCCCAAGCTGGTTCTGCAGACCCACAGTGGCCTCTTTGCTCCTTTGGTGGGTGTCAGAGCTCACAGCCATGCCCAGGCTTCCAGGAGTGTCCCCAGGCACGGCTGTGCCCCATTGGGATGCCCTGAACTGCTGCCACTGTGTAGGGGGAGTACTTCCGATGCCTGTAACCCAACCACGTGTAACTGGGACCATCCCAGGGACTCCGCCTGGTCACACCTCTGTTCCGGGTCTAACCCGGCCTTTGCACCAGATTAGGTAAGCGCTAGACCCTACCTGCTCGGGCACAGCCCGTCCTGCAGGTCAGACCTGAGTTTTCAGCTACCTGCTGTCTAAGCCTCTAGTGGACATGTCTGGTTCCTCCATGGCCCCAAATCAACAAGACCCACGTTAAACTCCTGCTACACCTTCACACGCCTGAAAGGACCAGCTCCTTCTCCAGGACTCCTCAGCTCTGTGTAACGGTTTCGTCTCTCTCCTCGTCATTCACATTCAAAAACCCAGAGCAAAGCACCCAAACAGGTTAGTAGAAAGAAACAGGATTTTGGAGTCAACCTACCCAAATTTGAATGTCACCACTTACTGCCTGAGGACCCCAGGTGGCGCAAGTGGTAAGGGACTCACCTGCCAATGCAGGAGACAGAAGAGACACAGGTTCCCTCCCTGGGTCGGGGAGATCTCCTGGAGGAGAACATGGCAACAACTCACTCTCGTATTCTTGCCTGAGAATCCCATGGACAGAGGAGCTTGGCATGAGGTCGCAAAGAGTCAGACATGACTGAAGTGACTTGGCACACATGCTTACTGCCTGTGTGACCCAAATCAAAGGAACTTCATCTCTCACCCCTGGTTTCCTCCTTTGCAAAGTGGCGTGAATCAGAGCTGGTCCAGGGTAGGCAAGCGAGCCACTCACCTGAGAGGCAAAATTTAAGAGGGTGCCAAAAGACTCACCCAGCAAGACTATTTTTTTTTAATATTTTTTTTAAAAGGCCTTTGTCTAGGGTCATTCTGAGCAATCAGAAATCAAGAGGCAAAGCCTGGCACAACAAGCGGTCATTTCTCAAATCAGCCAAAGTCTTAAAATTAATACACAACTTATGTTTATACATAGCTTTTAGCAGTAATTGGTACAATATTTTTGGAAGGAAGTATGGCAATAGATATGTCAGTAGCTGCAAAAATGCTCAAGGATTGTAATTCACTTTCCGGGACTCACTCAAGAAAATGATCTAAAACAGAGGTAAAAACATGCATCTGTTTATCATGTAGAATTTATAACAGCAAACCACTGGGGAACAACCTGAATGTGTATTTATATATATACACACACACATATATACAAATACAATACATAAATATAAGTACATATATAGATATATATACATTGTTCTTGATCATGTAAAACAGTACAGAGAAAAACAAATTGTAAAGAAGCATGTCAAACATTTTTCCAAAGAGGAAATGCAGGTGGCCAGCAGGCACATGAAGTGGCTGATTCAAGTTGATCTATAGCAAAAACCATCACAATATTGTAAGGTAATTACCCTCCAATTAAAATTAATTAAAAAAAAAAAAGAAAAGATGCTCAATGTTGCTAATCATCAGAGAAATGCAAATCAAAACCACAAGAAGATATCACCTCACACACGTCAGAATAGCTACCATCAGAAAGACCACAAATAACAAATGCTGGCCAGGATGGAGAGAAAGGGCGTTGGTGGAGAAGTAGAAAATACACTGCTGGTGGAAAAGTAAATTGGTTCAGCCACTGTGGAAAACAGTGTGGAGGTTTCTCGAAAAACTAAAACTAGAACTACCACATGACTCAGCAATTTCACTCCTGGGTATATATTTGAGGAAAACAAAAACACTAACTTGACAAGATACATGCACTCCAATGTTCATCGCAGCATTGTTTACAATTGCCAAGGTATGGCAGCAACCTAAGTGTCCATCAACAGGTGAATGGACAAAGACTATGTGGTACACGCATACAATGGAATATTATTCATCTATTAAAAAGAATGAAATAATGCCATTGCAGCAACATGCATGGACCTAGGGAGTGTCATACTGAGTGAAATAAGCCAGAGAAGGAGAAATATCATGACATCCCTTATATGAGGAATCTAAAAAGAAATGATACAGATTAACTTATTTATAAAACAGAGACTCACAGACAGAAAATGAACTTATGGTTGCCAAAGAGGAAGGGAATAGTTAGGGACTCTAGTCATGTACAGAAGGTCGTGTACACGCTGCTATATTTAAAATGTATAACCAGCAAAGACCTATTATTATATAATGGAACTCCAGTCAGTGTCATGTGCCAGCCTGGATGGGAGGAGGGTTGGGGAGAATATATACATGTACATGTATGGCTGAGGTCCTCTGCTATTCACCTGAAATGACCACAACATTATTAATTGGCTATACCCCAATACAAAATTAAAAGTTTATTAAAGTTACAAAAAAAAAAAAAAAGATGTGGTATATACACACAACAGGTTACTACTCAACCATAAAAAAAAGAGTGAAATTTTGCCATTTGCAACAATATGGATAGCCATAGAGGGTATTATGCTAAGTAAGATAAGTTAGACAGAGCAAGACAAATACTATATGATATCACTCATGTGTGGGATCTAAAAAATAAACTAGAGAATGTAACAAAAAACAAAGTGTGCCAAGGCATAATAGCTTTTGTTTCTGAGTGGTAAAATCATAGGTGATATTTTTTAATTTTCCTTTTTGTACACGGTATGTTTTCTATGGTATTTATTAATTTTATAATTAAAAAATAAAGATACTAAAACTATGAAAACACAGTACATCTGATTATTCCCAACCTGCACATCTAACTGCCCCTTCCAGCTTATGCATCCTGCCCAGGTGCTATGTGCTTCTGCCCTCTCCTTTCCCTCCAGCCCAAACTACGTAAGTGCTGCAGACGAGCGACAGAGACAGGTCTTCTAACCTGGCCCCTTCCTTACTAGCCGTGAAACTGAACAAGCTCCATAACCTTCTGTGACTCAGGTTCCTCATCTGCAAAGTGCGTCTGCTCAGTTGCTCAATCGTGTCCAACTCTTTGCAACCCCATGCACTGTAGCCCACCAGGCTCCTCTGTCCATGGGGTTCTCCAGGCAAGAATACTGGAGTGGGTTGCCATGGCCTCCTCTTGGGGGATCTTCCCTACCCAGGGATCAAACCCAGGTCTCCTGCACCTCCTGCACTGCCAGGCGGGGTCTTTACCATTGAGCCACCTGGGAAGGCCCATCTGTAAAGTGAGGGCATCCAAATACCTCACCTCGGGGTGTTTGTCTTCACGGTACAGAAGCTGGCTTCAGGGACCACTGTGGGACTGAAGAGCGAGGATGGCAGCAGGACCATGAGAGACCCAAGGCCCCTTCCCCTTCGCCTGTCATGTCGTCCTCCAAGACTCTGATGGGTCCCTATTCCAGCCCTCAATTGTCACTCAGTGGGATTTCCCTGTGACACATAGGATGATGCTTTTGAGTCAAAATTAGTTTGATTTTTAAAAAAAAATGAAGGGGCTTCCCTGGTGGTCCAGTGGCTAAGACTCCACACACCCAATGCAGGGGGCCCAAGTTTGATCCCTGGCCAGGGATCTAGATCCCACATGCTGGAACTAAGAGTTCACCTGCTGCAACTAAAAATGATCCCTCATTCTGCAACTAAAATATCCCGACACAGCCAAATAAATAAATATTTAAAAAGAAAAAAGAAAATGAAGAAGTATTTTTGCACCTCTGATTTGGTTGCCTGAGAGTCATGCCCACTATCTGGTGTCTTTGTGCAAGCCTCACCCAGGCTATAGCCATACACGCCCCACTAGTCTCCATGGCCTGACATCTGTCCACTCCTGTCCATCCACACACACTGCTCATCTTTAACAGGCTCTGCACACCCTCCTGCTCCCGTGGGTCCCTCCTGCCAACTCTACAAAAGTGCCCTCTCCTAAGACACACTCTCAAGGGCTTCACCAGGATCCCGTCACCTCTTCCACCTTCGCACTTACCGTTCTTCACTCCAGACGAATAGGCTCTTAACTCTCCACTGAACACACCTAGTTCCCACCCACGTGCCAACATCCACTTATTCCTCTGCAACTCCCCGCCCTTCAGAACCCCACCATCCACCAGAGCCCAGTGCAAACACCACCTCCAGGAAGCCAGGGCGCCCTTCCCACTGCTGTCATGTGCGGGTACTAGGTTGTCCCTGACTCAGGACAGATCACAGGATATTCAACCCTGTAGTTGTTTAGATACAAGTTTTATCCACAAAGTATAAACTAGTCCAAGTATAATCTAGACCAAAGTATAAACTAGTCCAAGCAGTACCGCAGTAAATAAGATTGGAAGGAGTGAACACATGAGTGATGTATTTGTGTGTGGCTGACCTAGCCAGAGCTCCTCTCATGATAAATCCCCATCTTCAATTCTCGAGTCAAGGCCCCTGACCCTGATCAGGCTGCTTACTTCATAATTAATTCAATCCAAATGTCCTGGGGGGCTGAGAGGGGGAAATTGTGAACAGGGAGGAAAATTCACAAGGCCCTGGCTGAGCAAGACTGTATTTACTGGAACCTCAGCCTTTACCGTATTTACCCAAACCTCAGCCACTTACTGCACTTTTCAGTTTTAATTCCATCTGCCTTCATGCTTCCAGACTGAAAAATCCTAACTTCTCTAGCCTATATATATGGAAGTTTTTCTCCCTGTTCCACCCCCCCACCCCGCACCTCTTTTTAAATTTTAATTCTTTATTCTGGGCCTTTAATTTCGCTCCCCCACCACCATCACATATTTCTGAGTCACTCTATTCACTCACACATTTGGATCCAGAGGCATTCTGGTTTGGACTAAGGATAAAACACAATTGTTACTCTGATCTCCAAAATGTTTGTCTTTGCAAACATTTGGGGCTAAACATTGAGGGCACTTGCTCACAGAAGCTTTTTCCAGCCTAGAATTTACCCACATTTCCCCACAGACATCCTATGTGTACGTAGCTATTTTTAAACTTTACACCCACGAAACTCCTGGCAAAATCACAAACTGAATGGATTCCAAACCCAACTGTCTTTAATCCACATGTTTGGAAAAGAACACTGAAGTGACATGAGTGGACTTACTTGCTCTCTTTACTGTTTGTCAGGACAGAATTAGAGCCTT